AATATATTAATTACTAAGAAAGCCGGTGGAATTTCAGAAATATTAGTCACCTCATCAGCAATGGGTACTTCTTCCGACAAAGTACACTGATCCCTGGGTTGGTTTACGCACTGCTGTCCAACTGTATGTGCAGTGACCTACGAGGTGAACAAGTACGAACTTCGAATAATACCGAAGTCAAAGTGGAAACTCAAGCTCAGAGTGACCGATACATGCCGACTGGCTGGTATGTTTAACCTAAAGACTAATGCATGTTGCTAAGGCGCACTGAGATTTGCGGTACCAACCAAACTCAACGATCTCGCCTAAGTTATTTGTCTCCGCGGATGGCGACTCTACATCTGTAGCACATGGCAGGACCAACTCAACTAAAGTTGCTGGATAGTGTCCGCGACTGAACAAACAACTAATGCCAAACAACCAAATGCCAGTTTTCTGATTGTCTGGTTGCGAATTCATCGTCCATCCTAGCAACGCCTCTGAGATATCGGTGGTCAGAAAACTGAAGACCTCCCAGATCGCTTGCCCGCAGACGCCATGGCTGGCAACAACACAGTCCTTATTGTAGTCTGAAACACACTAAAATGAGGTTTCGATACCAAAAGGTAATGTCGCATCAACTCCATCAGACACACCTCCGTCAGAGCTAATATTACTACCGAGGCAAGCAAAATTATCCATAACATCACGCGTTTCTCAATGAATTTTACTGGAAATTTTCAGAGCCTACACTTTGTGAGGAATGGCTCCGCGGCCTTTAGTTGAGGGGCCCATGTCGAAAGGTGTTGCGGTGGTTAGTTTATTCGACAGTACCTGTGGTTAGTCCCCAACCGTTGTGGAATGCATAGAGTTAATGCTTCTGGCCATTGTACCTAGCTGAATCAGCCAGCAATCTTCCCGGAACAGACCGTTTCCCTAATCAAAAGTTCATGTATGATAGTATAAGTGCAACAAAATAACGCTGAAAGCGGACGACACCACAGTAAAGTAAGTCGGTGCGGAGCAGTCGTCGCACCTGTATGCGACGGTATCATTTTTCATCAACATTATCAACAGGGAAAGTAATGTCTATATTCTTTAGTAGGCGCCCAAATAAGACACCGTTGTTGTCGGTCAAAGTTGAACGCAGGTGTCGAAAGTCGGAGGGCAGCAGAGCTTGTGGCAAAGAACGGTTTTTGAGAAAAGTTGTCCACTCGACAATGGACCAAACCCTGACCTGCAGATTAAGACTATGAGACTCTCATAAACTCTTCTGCACCAATATATAGAACCAAGTAATCCATGCTTCGTGAAGTTGAGTGAATTCTCGGCTCCTTTGTTGAGTTAATTAGCAATGTTGTGTCGAAATTTTGACGTTCACACGTTTCTTCGCCAGAAAGTGCGGTTACGTGTGCACCTTTTCTACTGTACCTGATGATGCCTATAACAAACATGTGCCTGAAGACTTCTATGGTGTTTCATGCAGAAATCACTTGCATAATTCACCACCGAGTGCAAAGAATATTGTGCTATTTACGGATTGACGTTTAATTTCATTGCAAATCTCTTGCTGCACTCACTTTTGCATCTATGCTTGTGCGAAATATTTTGGAAACATGGTTGTGGATCATGCCCCTTTTTGAACTTTACAGCACAGTGAAAACGCACACGAGATATCTCGACTTCTCTTCTTTGTATAGGAAGTCTCAGTTGCCCTGAGGTAAATAAATGACTCCCTAATCAAATACTACTTGAGACATTTAGGTAGCCAAATGTGATCGATAATTTACATCAGGGTCGGTAATGTGGAAAGCAAATATTCTACGTCATGGTTCCTGCCGACGAGTTGTTTCTGTATTCGCTGCGGACCTGGATTCGTTTAATCTGCCACAGATGATGGCATGCACATCAAATAGTGGTTAGCCTGTCGAACGTGTTTTTCGTGTATACTTTGTATGATCTAACAATGTGGGTTTCCTATTCAAATATTTGAAGCTGTAAATTCATGGGTAACGGGCTTGGTGGTGGCTATTCTCTCGATTTCAGGCAGATAATGGGCACAGTTGAAGAAAAATATACAACTGGGCCATTACTAGCTGTGGAGTTTGAAGCCTCCAGTTTTATGCATCTGACAGCCAGCACTTACCCATTCGCTGTGGATTGGTCTTTAAGTCAGCTTGGATTTTTAGCGTTGCAAACGGTTGCCATTAGAGTACTTTACGGTCTTCATGACCAAGTATCATTCGTCCTGTCAGCACTTATGAGTTGAGCTCATATACCGCCTAATCCTCTAGATACCTATGTTCACATTCTTTTCATGCACGGAGGAATTACGGCGTACCTAAGTCTCGAAGTATACACATCTGACGATTATAAGGCGGAGGCTCCTTCACCTGAGCTTTTTCATTTTTCAGCGTCAATCTGTTGATAAACTTACAACCTATCGAAGTTGACCCACTGATCCAATTGGTTGTTGCGGTCTATGCGTCGTAGGCAAGGTCGTTTAGTTTAGTTGGGTACGACACAATTTAACAGATTTGATCTCTTGGTCACCACAGTGAGAGCATCGGTTTTGAGAATTTGTGCTAGCAATTATCAGCCAACGGACGCTAAAGTCACCTCAATTCAAAGGCTCGGTTACGACTCCACAAGACTAAACTGTTAAACTTGAGTACGCATGACAGCGACACAGCATCCAGCGCACTTTAAATTATGAATAAATACAGGTATATCCCCATGGGAAATGTCTTTCCTGATGTCGAAACCACAGTTCTTTAGGACAGTCTGAAATAACACAGGCACATATTTTGGTGTCGATTGGCATTAACACGGAGTAACTTGGAGAATCGACCGAACTGGGATCTTGTGTCTCGGAGACACAACATACGTCGATCAAAAAAGAGCAACGTCTGGGCAAGAGATATCTGTCACCAAATTTGACACAGAGCACGGACGTTCAAAGCCATAGCGTCGAACAGGGCCCTTGGATTTACTAAGGACTTATTTTGATTCGTTTCGCCGGACAGACGCTTAAATACGCAGCAGCCGTCAGAGGATCGACAGCTAAATGAAGCATAAGTAATAAGTAAGTCATTTCATGAAGAGCTGTAACGGCGAACAGTACTCCCGGGTTGCCCAGGCCGAAGGGAGTTTGTTTGAGGCACCATACCTTGAGCATATGACGCAAAATCATGACCCAAAAGGCAGTAGGAGGATGTAGGGTTTTGTCCGGGGACCCTTGCCCTAAACCCTAATTCAAACATCTGAACCGCGAGGTACCGATTGATGAAGTTTTCCAGGGGACCCTTTTTAGACCATTTGACTCAATAGTCTGACCCACTTGAATGCAGATGGCTAGCCTGGCTCGATGGCAGAGAAACTTGACCCTTGATGCTGCTATCCACAACAGATACGTTTGGTACCGGATTGGCCTTGAAATGAGGTTCAGATAACCTTCGATTATCTTGGATTATTCGCCGGTCACAGTCAGCCGTCTAACGATCGAAGTGCGCACTTTCTAGGACGGACCCTTTCCAACTCATCTTTCCCCGATGAGAATCAGCATCGCTGGTTCCATATCAAAATGGTCTCTAGGGGGGGACATCATACTGTCTTCACACTTCTGTCGCATCGAACAGGACGATTTTACCAAGACCGCCTCATAATATAAAATTCCTGGCATTGTGGGTAACTCGCTGCTCTTCACTGGACCACTTCCCAAGCAGAAAGGTGGCTATGACACTCAGTTAAAATGAACTGGAGACCGTATGTTAAATTTCGAGGCAAATATGAAACACCAATGACCTTACTGAAATGGTTGGGACAAGAGTTTTGGGGTCATTCAATGACTAAAGTCAACCATGTCAAGCGCTTACATGCGACAGCGTATGCGAAGGCTGATATACAATAGGCCAAGCGTGACTCAGCTTAAAAGCGCCATTTGTGACAGACGATTTCTCAAAGTATCTTAAACGGCAAAGCACAGGGTCGCATGGACTTACATCCAAATGTCGAATAGCTGTACTGACTCCGAAAGGTATGCCCTGGTCCAAGCAGCCATAGCGTGAAACATTTGAAGGAACAACCTCTCTGAATTCCTTGTTGATCTGTTCACCGAGCTTGACAGTTGAATTGCATCCTCTCTGAATTCCTTGTTGATCTGTTCACCGAGCTTGACAGTTGAATTGCATATATTTGGTCACCAATCAATCTGACATCGTCAGTGCGGGGTGAGTGGGTTTTTCCGACTAATTTGCGATACAGTCCGAGAGAGCAGGTCCTATTTACGGTGTTTTCTACCCCGGCTAACTTGTGTAGTTGACGTCTATCACACACGGAGCGGATGAGTTACTTTACCGTCTAATTTTTACAGGACCCTCGTCCGACTTATTGAAGATTCATGACATCCCTCTATTATCTGAGTTTATTACCCGCGGATGATCGCAAAACTCGGCAGCTGAAAGCCTCTCAAGCATATCAGTGACTATAGGTCACTTGTCCTGAGCAGTCTATATCGGATCAACGACCACTAGGCCTAATGTAAGGTTGCCTTTCGTAATAAGGTCCTACCTGCGATTGGACATCTCTACAGTAACACTTGACGATGAAAATTCAATTCCATCCATACTACTTATAACACTAGTGAAACCATGGAAGGGACGCGATGCGTGCCCGCGAACAACTTGCACAATGACAAGGTCTTGCATATAAGGGCATCTGTCCTCTAAATATGCCTTTCAAATTAATATATTGCAGTGTGTGATATAATACATATCATATATAAAAATAGACAATAATGAACTCGTGTGGATTTCTGAGGTGTCGAGAGAAATTCCAGAACGAACATCCAACATTTCCCACCACTCCCCTGAGTAGCCCTTAGCGAGTAGCTTGGGGTTATCTGTATGGAGAAGAAAAACATTATACTTCAAGTTAGGTTGGCGTCGGAAGACTCCAAAAACTTGGGGGAATTGTGAACAACCGTGAGGCTATACATGGCGCTACGCTAGAACGCAAAGGCTCTAGCATGAAGAGATTGTTGACTGAAGGGTTAAATGCAGTCGATCGGCATCGAAGATACTGACTGAAAAGCTATGTTCACCACTGAGGGGATTAAAGATCACATCAACGGAGAAGGTAGTGTTGTCGGACAACGTATCCAGTCCTTTGGACCAATCTGTGGGTACGAACAAAACACCCTGTTGTGGACCTGCGGGTTTCCAGCGGACTGGTTGTCCAGGAACAACAGGAACGCTCGGACCAGCCGGACTGTAGTAGAACTCACTGGTAGGGTTCAACTGATCAGGCGGCACACACCATTCAGCCCAAAATGCAATTGCATTCACTGAGGAGGAAGTTGCCTTCATGCAACCGTGGCTCACTACTATGGCGTCATCTGATTGGATTGCCTTATCAAGTTTCATTTCGAAAACAATAACTGGCAAAGAAGCAGCCTTTGACGGATATTCCCAAAGCGGGTGTGGCTCGATGAATGCATCCGTCTTCCTCATCGCAGACTGAACTAAATCATCGAAAGCAGTTAGGATGAATCCCTCGCAAGAGTTGATGGAAGCTCGGATTTTCCACAAATCACGCAACTCGACAAGCACGCCGTAAATCCGCAGTACAGATGGGCACAATAAGCAAGTGGGAGGAATCGATGGAAAAGCCGTAACTAGCTGATTTCGAGCGTACCAAAAATAGACTGAGTCCCAAGGTAGCGTCCCAGCAGCTGTGTATGGTTCAGCAACCATAAGAATTGAGGGAGGGTTTGGGGATATTTTACTGATAGACTCATGGCTCTGTTTGTAATGATCAATGAATTTGTCCATCGACTCAAACAAATGAATATTGAAACCATTCGATTTAGCCCCAGCATATACTCCCTCTAGGAAACGGAGAGAGCCAAGGGCCGTTTCCACATGATGGACGTTGATTTGATGTTGTCTAGAATGGACACATGATAGTTCAGCAACCATGAGGGGTAATAATGAACAGTCTGAGACAACGACAAGATCCAGAGCAGACGAAGCGCCCAATTTGGAAAATATCCGGTCAAGAATTGTTCCCGTCAGCATGCGATATTCTTCTGTATTTAAATGAGCGATTCGGTCACGTGACCATGCATAGTGCATCCCACAGCCACATACAGGTCTTTCAACTGGCTCGGTGACAGGCGCCACCATTTCAGAGGGGGAAACAGGTGCCAGGTCAAACCATAGTGCAAAGGAGTCATGGTTGAACAGAATTCCGAGAGGATCACCCTTACGGACTGCAACGGAGTTCCGCGGGAAATAGACTGCTTGCATCCAGTGATCGCGCCAAGCATACTCGGGGTCATTGGCCCATTTGGGCGCGGTGCTGATGTCAGGCACAGTATCCGTTGGTTCCATTTTTAAACGCCACCAGACAATAAAAGCATGAACCGATCCATCGCGCACGGCCACCAGAGGGTCCCCATTGTTTGTCTCTGTAAATGAGAAGAAATAGAAGCAAAAATAACCGGAATTCACAAAGCGATACTGCTAGTAACGGAAAGGCTCCAAACTGATAGCTTTGGGGACAACATCAGTCCGTAGCATTAAAGACCTCATAGAACAGGAGAAAAACAGCCACTTAATTCCTTTCGTTCAGTTGTAACAATCTTTCAATGCCCAGTCGACAAGCAGAAGGGCTGGATTACTACCAGGTTGCCCAAACCTAGACAGAGGATGTCGAGAGGAAGAGGTCGGATTGGAACCACGGACCTTCCGGTCAGTAAATTCGCGCTCTATCCACTGAACCATCTCACCCTTTTCAAACGGTAAAGAGTACGATGGCGTGAGGAGACGGAGTAAAAATGAACCGAAAGTTCACCGTCACATGGACGAACTTCACAGCTCTCGTGGTGCGCCGGAGGACTACCATATCTTGCCCGGTCTTCTATCCCATTCACCGTAAAATGAAAATCTCCTCAGACAGGTAGATCAACGAGGGCTGGACGTTCATATGAGGGTTTGGTATTTACACCCGTCCAACAAGGCTCGTCCACTGAAAACCCACCACATCAACGCGTAGCTCTAAATGGCGGTCATAAGTGCATACGAAACATTTGCTTCAACTAATTCTTCCCACTGGGGTTACTGTTTACCATCTCGTCGCGCCACCAAACCGCAGTTTTACATACGGTAGCAAGAAACCAAACTGATAGGGTGTAAAGCAAAGGCACTCAATCATCAGACAAATGGACGACATAGCCCAGCGAATGTAGCTGATTCACACAAATCAACTCAACAATGGGAGTGGAATGTTATCAAAGAAAATTACCCTTAAATTCGCATCGTCCATTCGATATTCACTATGACACTTGTAATTTTCGAAGACGCATATGGCCGAATACAAGCAATCCTGCTGTCTTCAACGCACAGACTACGCTTCACAGTTACAGAACCATGGACACACCACCGTGTTGCAGACCCTGCCTTCGATCAGAAAACTTATCGTCACTTTGATTTTAAAGGTGACTAGGTTGAAATAACGCAGCGCGAAGTCTGACGACTGTAGCAATCACTTCGTCAGCAATGCTAAAAACCGACGTGATGTAACTACCAAGACAGGTAAATCTGTCCACCATCTCCAGTGGTTCTGATGTTATAACCAGCTTCGATGATGCACTTGCTGAGTTTTGTAACAACACTTGGCGTTTTGAAGGAGTAAAGCGGATGTCAAAATGCATGACAAGGTTATCTAGACTACTCGCTACACTGTGTATCTAGATTGAATCGGAACCAAGTAGCGCAATAACATATTTCAGGTCTTCAAGTTTTTCCACGGGGACAGGCTTCAAGCTAGAGATAGAAGGCACAGGAAACAACTCGCCGCTAAGTGATTACATTTAGAAGCTAAAGAGGAAAGGTGAAAGAGGGTAACCCTGATGGGCACGACTTCTGGTGACACTCAAGAGAATATCCTCCGTAAACCTTTACCCACCCATGGGATTCTGAGTACAAGGATTGGGGAAATGTGGCGAGAAAGTTCGGTACATTTCTGAGATAGAAACCTTGCTATAAAGCAGCATGACCCATCAATTCAACCAATTTACCAGCTATAAATCGCGTACTGTAGGCACACTGCTCTCAGCTACTACAGTTTCCATTACCGTAAATTAGGAGAGTATGGAACATAGAGCGAATCATTGGGGGTGGTGACAAGTTCACTCAGTTGGTCATGGTTGTACGAGGGCTGGGATACTGCCCGGGCGCCCACACCTAGACAGGAGGACGATTAGGGTCCTCAACCAAAGCCTTTGGCTCAAAAGCCTAACCGCAAGGCAGCGGTGTTTGGCGGGGAAATGCAAATGCATTACCTTTTCTACGGAACAAGTCGCCATACATGTTCCAACCCCCAACCTGGAGGGCCAGGAGACTGTGTTCGTCAGACCCCTAACCATTGACCAACCTGGTATGAGAGACTGTGAATGTCGCGCGGACACCCCCCAGTATAGCTCAATGGGTCTCCGAGGTACACAAACCGCCACACCACGGTAAGGTCCAGTTTCTGCGTGACGGGAACTGGGTAGCTACGCATTGAAGACAACAGATTTGATGCATGACCGCCACCGTCTGCGTGAGTGGGCTATTTCTGACCGTGTCAGTAACCATCGGTGGGTTCAATCCGGGGGTGTGTTGAGGGGAATTCCGCACTGATACGGCTAGCAGCTGAGCGACGCTACGGCCAAGAAGCCTATCCTCCACGTGAATGGCCCGAAGATCGGTCCGGCATAAAGGCCAAACATGATTGAGCGAAATTCTCGACCCAACAACCAACCACGATCCAGTATGCCGGATTGGCAATGGTGCATCCGGAAATTCCGGAATGTTGTCGACCCATAAACTTTATATAAGACGCGCTGTAAAAGTGTTTGCGACCTAATATTGGGCGTTGACACACGTTATACACCTTTGGCAGTTGTGATGGTGACGGGAACGCTGGCTTGGAAGGTTAAGACCGAGAACTAAGTCGAGAAAATATTGCTGTTATAGGTCCCCATGCAGCGAGGCCGTAGATGTCGACCCGACTAAGTTTACTGGTTAGTGTTTTCACACTTCGTTGCCAGGTCACACTGTCCACCTCTCGGTCACTTCAACTCAGCGGCAGACGGTCTTCTGGCATGCGGAGTAGATGTACTGACCACTGTAACCTACGAAACGGGAGAGCTTCATTCCTAGGGTCATGTAGCGTATCTCAGCATTACTAATCCGCTGTTCCTATCAGATCTGACCAATGCTTCGAAGACGATGATGGTCAAACACTGACATCTTTCATATGCCCTCTGCGCGCAGAGGCCACGCCTCTGATCCACAAAGCATTATGGATCGCACTACCGCAGAGAAGACTCTGTCCGTGACAGAAAAACTCGCATCACATCGGCGCCATTGGTGTCGGAGGTTGGCAAAAACTGCCCCGGCCTTCGCGATTCGAAAGGTAGTCTCATACCTAGCCAGTCCACGGCAACTTATACAACTGTCCAGATATACAAATTTATCTGCTACCTCAATTGGCTCGTCTGCAAGCATGAGGTTTGGGTTTAGTCTCACCCAGTTCCGTAGCAGCACTCTAAACTTTGAAGATGTGAAGCGCATGCCAAACCGTCCGACAGAGTTATTTAGGTTGTTCAAAATGGTTTGCATTTTTTAAGCAGAAAAATAGCTTCCGCATGCTCAATATCTGCGAGGGAACGTTCAGGCATTGAAATTCCAAGCAGAACATCAATGGCAAAGTTGAACAGGAAGAGTTGGGGAGGACAGTCTTGTCTTATACCACTGGACGTGGTGAGCTCGGGGTAAAGCTTGCTGTGTACTCGTACACGCCCATAGGAGTTAGCACGCAAAACCCTAAAAAGGGACACAAATTTGGGATGGCTTTGATTGCCAGACACCGCCAGAGTCAAAAGTAGCTTCCAGATAAAGATGAGCGACCAATGTGAGACATTTGAAGGAGTGGCGCTGTTCAGGAACTCGTCTCAAGGGAAGATATGGTCGATGCATCCTCGCATAGGGCGAAACCCAGCCTGATCCTCACGAACCTCTTTCCTGACGATCGGCCAACCTGCGCAAAATAATACAGAGAGCAACTTGGATGCCAGGGATACCAAGCTGATGCCATCATGGTTTTCGCATGACGTTCTTGCGCCCTCTTTGAAAACCGGGACGACGGTCGAAGCAGCACTACCGGCAGAGTCGAACGCTGTTTTTAGATATAGGAAGATAATAGTTGTTCACTTTCTATACTTGCGGCGGTTTTCGAAAAATGGTCGTGAGGTAAAGATGTGGACAATGCATTTACGACTGAATCCTGCTTGATTGCACGATCCTGTTTCTTGCAAGTGGTAGTAAGCCTGTGTAGGTTGACCGTTTCGAGCAACTAGGGAGCGATGACAATTAAGTCGACAGCCCGATGATTCTCACATCTGTCGAGAATTCTTGGTTCGAACCCCGCTCAACTAGTGCTCTATCTCTCGGCCTGCCAGACCTAGTTCTCGTGTTTTCTTCACGTGGACTAACAATTATATGACGGAAGGATGAAACTCTTTTTTTGTCTGCTGTCCTAAACGGATAATGACTTGATAGTTAATAAGCCACAAATAAGGAATTCGCCCCAATAGCCGATATGATTAAAAGATTTGCCAAGAGGCGACTCCTACCCATTGGGAATCCTAATGCGGCAGCACAACGAATGACTATATCATTATCTGGGTATTGGTTTATCCTGTTGGTCGAAAAGAAATACGACATATCAATAGCTGTGCATTCTTCAACCAGCAGGTGACTTCGACAACATCCGACCTAGGTAACAACCTAGTAATTGAACTTGCTGCCAAGCCCAGTTAAAGTATTGCACATTTATTCTGTCACAGGTAGCACAATGTTTGCTCATCAACTTACAAGCATCGACGCTACCAGCTTTGCCTGAACTGATCTGAAGCAGCACCGTCAATAGAATTCGAGGACGCAAATGGTTCCGCTTAATTATTCATGTTGTCGGTTGTCATTGCTAATTCCTGAGTTGTACCTGTTGCGAAAAGCAAATGATGAGTCAAGCGGTAATCGTGCCCCTGGAGACCAAGTCACTCTGTGGCCTCGGAAAGACAGACTTCGGAGAGGATAAGCATCTGGTTCGTATCTGATGTGGACCCTTCTAATCGACAATACAACGTTATTTCAATAAATCCGATAGATCACTCGGTTATACGTAATGGTCTAATGGATGGATAGTTGGTTGTTTACGCGTCCATCGGCATACGTTGGGAGGCCAGAGATAACAGACCAAACGGCGTCCATGGGTGCTCGTTTTGTTGTACGTGAATGGACTTTGGGGGGAGAGAACTCGGTATCTGTGTGAACATCGTCGGCTATTAGAAGTCAATGTGTGCTTGCTGCAGACAGTAGAAAAGAAGTGCGCAATCGCAGTCCTCTAGGATTGAGGAGCGGTTGGTGTACTTAGAGATTGGAACACAGATGCCTCTAAATCGTAGAAAACAGGGTCAAATTGTTGAGGTTATTGGATGGTTAGACGGAATACAATGTTCCTCCTTGAATATCTAAAGCACGATCAGGAAGTGGAAGGCGGTATCACTTGACAGAAAACTTGTTTGAAAACGGGTATGACGCCAATACATACAATTTCCCCGTAATTCATGCTGTTACTGACGTATCCAGGAAGCGGAAAACAGATACGATTGGAACTGTCTGGCCTAATTGTACTAATTTAACCAGACAGGCGATTCCATTAGTTGTAAACATACAGGTGGGTACTTTTAGCGGAAATTATGCAATCTGCCACTTGTGTCAAAAAGACTTGTGCAAGCCGTTTAGCGGAAAGTTCATCCAGGGTAATACCCAACATCCACTAACGTAAAACTGTGTCAAAAACTGTGTAAAACGGTTCAAACACCCATTTTTCCTAAAATAATAAATTTTGCTCTATTGTATTGCGCAATATTGTCACACACTCTTGCACCTGTACATCGACATCACCCGAAACCTATTGGAAGCAGTTCAGGCCACCGTCAGCATTGGTAGCAACATCTGGTAAAGTTTAAATATCCGGTATGTATATTTGCTTGCTATGAAGGTTCCGAAAAAGTATCCTGATCAGTTTCTAATCAATGAACCTTTTGTCCTGTAAGTGAAGCCGATCTACGCTGGGAAGCCGGTAAATCCTGTATGGCCGTTTCGTCCTTATTAAGAACCACCACTAGTGTGCACCTCAGGAAGCTAAACGGTGATTCGAACCCGTAACCTCCCGGCCGGTATTTGAAGACTGAACCGTTCGATCACAATCGAATGGGTGGAATTGTGAGTAACTCACACTTAGACGGCATATAGCGTAGCTCATCCTTCAATCATGCGATCCATATGACGGAGAATTTGCTGGACAAAAACCCCATGATTAGACAATTGGTTGGTTGATTGAAGCAGCCTGACTGTGCGAACAGGGAAGTTGACTGGAACAAACACCAATTGCACATGCGTTGCTCGTGGCTGAGTAGTCCTCAGGTCCTTAAGGTAACCAAAGATTCTTTGAACTTCTGGTGCTCCGAAAAAAGGCCAAATATTTCTTTGCCCGGTGTTTTTGAACGATAAAGCTTGTTTGCCAAAACGGATGAATTTAATCACTATGTTCAGGTTTCACCGGCCAGACATCCAAGAAAACTAGCTACGATATTTGACCGATGGTGCAACATCCGAACCAATAACTTACTTGTGATAAGAAATGAATCAGATAGTTTTATTTGTGCACTGGGAGGTCCGAATTCAAATCGTTTCACGCGTACCGGCTCAGCTAGTAAGCAACGCAACTGCCTGTCGCCCAACGGCTCAGAAGAATCAGTTTCCAAGGCTTCTAACTCTGAAGCCTGAATATCGAAAACTGATGGCGCTCCGGGACATCTCTGCATCACGTCACTGCTGAATGAATCTCGGAGGCGAATGAGGGATGGGTTGTCGTCCGACGGGAACGACTTCAAGCGATTGAACGACCAGAGAAAGGGAGAGTCCACAACCTAAAATCAGTTGGACGGTAAAAACAGTAGTCTTCAATCACCGATTACCGTCCGCCCGAATAACCCTGTTCTCGGTCTCGGAGTTCAGATGAGAAAGAGAAAATTCCCGTGGTAGGTGAATCTACGGAATATTAGCAGTCACGATGTGCAGCACCGTCTAGAGAAAGAATTCATGCTCCAAGTACGCGATTCGGACTTTCACGCAGGAAGATACGTCTGATGACGACCCATTTCACGGCGCATCACAAAGATCTATTCCAGACGGATAAAAGCTCGCACCCAGAGAGAAAAAGCAGCCAAAGGACACAGTAAAATGTAGGTCGACAGGTTTTGAGGCCGTAAAAGAATAGAAATATAAGCTGGCGTCCCAAATAAGTCTTATTGGCTGACACTTGTATTTCTTCTACCACTGAAGCGACAGGATTATCTGAAGTAAAAAGCTTCCTTTTGGCCCAGAGCTACCAATTCACTTGCCCAGCAAATGCAGATTTATGAGGTTGATGGTTTTACCTTTAATCAGTGCATAGACTATCAGAGAACTATGACACTAACAGAAACCGCGTGAACTTCAGCTGTGAATTTCCGTGCGCTTAATAGTTGTGAACAGCGAGGAAAAACAACTACCTTAGAACAATGTTCGGCATGACTTTCATTAGACTGAATGGAAATTCATCATCGAATTGATAACTACAACGTCCTAGCGCTAATACAAGAACAGCCACCAGAGAATCATCACACTAAATCCCTCATTACATGACAGTCACCAATGAGAGCTTAATTTGCTTGAATAAACTTATCTGTTCTAATGGCAATGTCATCATAGGATCGCGTGGAACCATAGATAAAAGTCAAAGTTAAATCAGGACGAGCTCATTAGTCAAAGATAGCCCCTCGTATGAAACCGCAAATACCCATTTATTTATACTAACCTACCACCACTAAATGCCCCATAACATCTACGGGTTTAGGGAGGTTGTATTCAGAGATGTACCCTCAATGGCATCGAAACAAAAATACGACTGAATCCCAACCAGATAGCAATAAATGTGAGATAAAAATAAAGTGCTGAAAACCTCAGATAGCTTCGAACCGGGACCGATTATTGTGGACGTATGGCTACCTCTAGTACGTGGTGAAATAATAGTTCCGTGGTTCGTCTCTTGACTTCCCCGGTCTAGGCTTGGGCAACCTGGCAGTATCCCAACCCTCGTGCTTACTTTGGATGGCCTAGAAGTTGAACACCGAAAGGATGTTACAGCTGAACGATTATCTTTTTTTAAAATATTTTTAATAAACTTCCAGAGATAGGATCAAACAGTGTAGTGGTATACCACGGTTATTATCCGACTGTGTGGGCTTATTGCTGAGAGGAATGAAACTTGGAGAAGGTTTTGCCGATATGCACAGAAACTAGAAAACACCCAGAGGTTGTCGCACAAATTGGACAATGTGTGAATAACGGCAGTGAATGGAAGTTGACAATCCACGGATTGGTAAACGTACCTGCAAATACAAATCAGCAGCGTAGGGCACAAGAGTAGCATCTTGCATTAACAGGCACTCAGCAGCATGTTTATAGGTGGACAACGCGGCCTCACCGATCAGTTCTGTGTCCAGTAACTCCGCAACTAGGAAGTTTGCTCGTTCACTGAGGTCGCAGCCAACCACAAGTTTGTTTGATCGCTTTGTAACCAAATTTATTTTCTCGCTAAGCCCATTTTCTAGCAAAACTGTCCTGGCGCAGTTAGCCACTGGGAGGAACGCTTCGCACGCCGTTACTTTGTCTGCACCTGCGCGGGCGGCAATCATGGCCAAAAGACCAGTCCCTGTACCAATATCCAACACGTTAATTGCTTCGCCGGGATGACTACTTCTTCGGTGTTTCAAAGCGTGTTCGATCGCTAGACGGTACTTATGGTTTCGGTCGGTGTCGTGCAGCATGTCCCCGTAAGCAGACCGAGCAACCTCCTGAGCGTAATCGTAGTCTGGTTGAACCAGTCTCCATTGTGTCTGTCCAACGACAGGATTGTACTGTGAAACCAGATCCCAACCATCCGATGGATGTTTCACTTCGTTCATCATAAGAATCGTTGACATAAAACTAGTGTTCGTGCAGCGTCGGAATGAACGGAAACAAGTAAAGGTTGAATGAAAGCGAGGGGCAATGCCAGCCACTGTTAAGTGTTGTTTGCTGAAAACGGCGTCGATAGGTTACACTAGCAGAAAATCGGCAAGAGGAAATCTGAAAAAGCAAATGTAATTCCGATGAGAAAATCCATTCTATGAGAAAGACTCCGTATCATCACACTCACACCGGGCGGTATAAACGCATAAGTAAAAAAGCGTAACTTCGTGCGGTTGTACGGTAGCGAAGCATCAGTAGCAACACTGATGTTGCTGTCTTTGATGTAACTTCGTGCTACATTCTCCACAGAAATGAAAACGCCCACTCTCTGGATAGGCCGTAACCGTAGCAACTCAGCAACCACAGAAATTCAAGCGGAAGAAGTACAGCACCGCAGTACGGCCGACGGTTTCGCACGTCGATCCTATCTTTGCTGTAAGAAATGCTTTTATAATCCGATCAAAAGCAGTGGAGGGGTGAAAAAATAACGGTTCCTATGGGTTCGTTGGTGACGCCTACCTAAATGACCTGAACTCAGCTGTACACGAAGCATACACACAAGCGTACGTGGCATCCAGTCAGCTTTGAGACAGCCCCTAGTTTCTTGCATGGATGTGTGCTTTAGACTTCTAGTGAGTGTCAATAGACCAGATACAATGGGGTACGTGAGATAGATGCGGTTCGTGTCTACAGTCTTTGAGCTAATTTGGGTGGCTGGACTGCTTCATGATGCGGTCGTACTGTTACTAAGTTGGATTAGTAAGCCGATGCAAGGCGGTGTTAGCGGGTCAGCTCCTAGCGGCTTCCAGCCTTTTAGGTCCCGTTGTGAGATGACATTGCTCACGAAGGTGGGGTCATAGTGTGTTCAACTTAGTCCAGTTGTAGAACCCTCAGACGTCTTTTGTCGGGACACTAAGACACATTTGAGCGCTGGACTTATTAACTGATGGGAAATCAGCTCATTTCTTCACTAGCTAATTGCTTACGGAACTTCATGACTTAGATTGGTACGGATCAAAGATGGAACCATTTCACGGGATCGGCACACTACAAATCCTCCAAATGGTGAACCGAAAGGCATGAATGTATGATTTGTCAAACAGTATTCCGTTGTGCAACATTGTCAACGATAGCACACTTTCGACCACGGAGCTGCTACAGGCTGCCGTATTCGACAGTTCAGTTTCATAAAAATCACGAAAGCCTTGATTTAACTTCTTAAAAAAACTGGAGCCGAACGCTATCAAGGTCGTTTTATCTGAAGATGTATCTTCAGTTGCATTGGTTCTGCCATGTGCTACGCATGTCACTGTTTCCCGTCCTTGCTTCAGACTAGCACCAACTGCAACATCGTGTGGCTTTACAGAAGTGAAAGAGATTACCAAGACATTAGGTGTTCTTGGTGCGGTCTGCTCTCCAGGATTTATCCCTAAACTTCCATGATCCCCTATATCTGGCTGAGAATGTTGCAAAAAGTGGCGGCCAATCGATGTCAGAGGCATTTTTGCTGTTATTTTCTTCTCACATTGTCTGGTAGTGTTTGGAGGGTGCTGGCAAGTTCATTCCTCACCCAGCCGCTCTTTTGAATATGGGACTTCATGCATAGCTAAGTAAACCTTGTGGCTATATGACGGTGAAGCACCAGCGGCAACAAGGGTGCCGGTTTCTCTCATAATGACGCTTTTTGACTCAGGTGATGGAAATTAGTTTGGGACGCCAGTAGACGTCTACGGCGGCCGTTGACTGCTGGAAAACATTGTGCAGTCTTGCCGCACACTGGACTCCGAGTAGGATGCTGTTTTTCCTTTTTTGCAAGCCGAAACACTGGCTTCCGTAACTGAGTGGTTGTGTCACAACATCTTTCTCGTGAACAGTTGCTGTGTCACCGAAGAAAGCATGAGGACCGATATACTTGGAAGTTAATGGAGTCTATACAGGAGCCGTTGGGATCCCAGAGATGAGTCTGAAACATGGACCTTTCGCTTCACGCCACTGAGCTACTGCGGACTCGTACATGGGGTAACAGGGGGCGAGGTGACTCAGTGGTTAGAGCGCGAATTTACTAACCGGAAGGCCCATGGTTTGAATCCGACCTCTGCCTCTCGACTTCCCTCGTCCAGGCCAAGAAAAACTGGCAGTATACCAGCCCTCATGCTTCCTTCTGGTGGCATGGCAGTTAGGCATCAGAAGGGTGCTACATCTGAACGATTTTTTACATGGGTGACAGCTCTGCCAGGCACATTTCCATGATATTCCAAAAAGGGCATTTCTGAACCGAGTTAATCATCATCATCATCATCACATCATCATCGTAGCATGACATCAGTGTTCACCACCGATGCTTCAGTGCCATAAAACGAGTTAAACGCTGATCGAATATCTGTGGAGCAAGCCGTAGCGGGTTGATGGAGTTTCGAAAGGCGCTCGAAGACAACTCAGAAAGAGTACTTGACACATAAGCTCCTCGTGGGTTATTGCGCCACTTCTACTGTCAACAATGGGTTGAACCTTACTGTAATGTGACGGTCTAAGCCTCCATAACTTATTGAAATTTACTGGGTGTGTGTAAAACACTCGGAGCCTCTCAAGCGAAGTTAGTCACTGGTTGGGTCTCCAACCCGTCACGAAGAGACTAAACCTTAACGCGCTATGGCGGCGCGACCCATTGAGCTATAGTGAGGTGGTGTCCACGAGCTACTCGCAGAGTCTCTCATACCCAGTTAATCAATAGTTAGAGATCTGTAAAACAGCTTCCTGGTGCTCCAGGTTGGTGATTGGAACATGCACGGCGACTTGTTCTGTTACTAATTGAAATGCGCTTGTATTTCCCGCCAAACACCGCTGCCTTGTGGTCAGGCTTTTGAGCCAAGGGCTTTGGTTGATGACCCTAATAGTACTGTTGGGTCTCGGAGGTGACATACCAGTAAACCCAACTGAGTTTACCGGTTACTGCTCTCATGCTTCGTCCACAAACGGAAATTTGTCTACCATGTCTGCATACGCCAAAACCGATTATAGCTCTAAGTCCAGTAACGGTAGTTTTTGTGATGCTTCGACTGCCTTGTTAGGCGGAATAAAATCCCAGCTGTCATTTTGGTCACTGTGGCGTTATCGTCAGTCCGACAAATCATCCGAAATTAGATGGGGCAAGATGGCTGAATGGTTAGAGCGGGAACTTATTGACCGGAAGGTCCGTGGTTCGAACCCGACCTCTGCACCTCGACTTGTCTTGGCTTGGGCAACCTGGCAGTATACCAGCCCTCGTGTCTCTCTCGGGTTGCACGGCAGCTAGGCAACTGAAGGGTGTTACAACTGAACGACAAGAAAACAACCCAAGACGTCAGATGAAATTCATCGTGAGCGCAAACCGTGATGTCTGGTGGATCCGAAAGGTTAAGATACTGGATGAGGTGGAGAATGCCAGGAATGCACAAATATTACTTCAGTTGATCTGTGCGATTGACCTTCCGAAAGCCGCCCGTGAGCAGAAAAACCAAGGATCAAACTGCCGCAACCATCTCCCATAAAGAACGCCTCGACTGCTGGGCCAAGCAATTTGAATAATTCTCGTGGCCATCAGCTGCATGTCAGTCAGACCATGGAAGTGGAACATCGGACGAGAAACCTCAAACACCCACGGCCCCTTAGGTTATTCGTTCAGTTGTAACACCCTTCAGGTGACTAGCTATCATGTAACCCGAAGGATGCAAGAGGGCTGGGATACTGCCGGGTTGCCCAAGCCTAGACAGGGGAAGTCGAGAGGTAGAGGTCGGGTTCGAACCACGGACCTAACGGTTATCCATCCAAGCGCCATTGGGCCCCTGGTCCGGACATTGTACCACTCGCATTGTTCAAAGATAAAGGTGAAGTCCTCAGTCAGTGCTTGTCCGATCTACTTGTCTCCACACGACTGGAGAGAATAGTTAAGAGTCCATCTAATAAAATAGGCCCGTAATGAGTGCAGTAATCACAGAGGGGTCAGCTGGATTCCAGTAGTGATCAGGTGATAGCAGCGCGCGGGATTTCTGTCTGGATTGCGTTGAACAAATCACACTCAATCATATGCTGGGACAACGGCATACATATACCTGGATTTCCAAAGAGCACTTAGCTCACCTGACCAGTGCTCTTAACACGCTTTCTCGGCGAGGAATGCTCCCGAAGTTTTTGTGTATTCACAGGTCCATAGGTAGGTCAGATTACATGGGAAGCTTACCAAGTGCTTCTGTACACAAAGTACTTGTCCGAGAATGAGACAAGCGCACGGAGGCCTTCAAAACCCTTTTGCTCATATAGTTGCTGACGAAAACCTTATCGATCTGAAATATGCAGAGAGAAGGCATAGGTGTTTTTCGATGGACTGACCAAAGTCATAGCGTTCTCTGGCATGCATTTTATACAAATAAATTGTAAGCTCAAGCTCTTTGACATGCAGTCACTAAACACGCTCACTACAGACCATGGACAACCACTTGAGGAACGTTTTACCTCAGAAGTTGTACAAGTTCTAAACAGTCATGCGGTGAAGACGCGCACCGAGCGACCGGAAGATCGTTTCGAAGGAGGGGGATTTCGAAGTTGCGGAGGCGGCTGGACTGGAAACCAACTGGGTTAAGTTGGCAGAACTGAAGACCTTCCTCAGAGGCCCGGAGAAGGCGACCCTGGATGCGGTCGGAAGGGACCCTCGGTTGATGGACTGGGCCGCCGCGAAGAAAGCCCTTGCAGCGGAGTTTGACACAGCGGCCAACCGCTAGGAGGCTATGAGGCGGTTCAAGACGGCCGGGATGGAACCGGAATGTGACTTAACTATTTTCTTCGCCAGCCTGCAGCAGTCGCTGGATCGGCCCTTGCCGGGATTGGAGCGAATGTCCCGATAGCGGTTGTTGTCTTACCAGCTCGTCGGATGTGCAGCCGGCGCTTCGTGCGCACTTGCAGTTAGCGAGAACAACTGACCAGTTGGGTATGGAGCACC